TGCTTTCCCGCGCTTACTTAGATAGAATAGCGTAAAGCTTGACGAACGTAAAAAATAAACGCCGATATATCATTTTTCCATTTTTTCAACTTTCAAGATCGAAGATGAAGATTTCATTTGAAATTATAAGTTCAAATTTCCCGCCGGTTAACCGACTTTAACCGGTAAAAAACCCCGGTTAACCGGTTAATGCTCAAGCGGTTAATTGACACCACTAGCCCACAGTGGCTCCCAGAAGCTATACGATGGCCCCCAGAAGCTATGCAAGGGCCTGCAGAAACTGTACTGTAGCCCCCAGAAGCTAATTAGTGGCCCCCAGTGGCTCCCAGAAGCTATAAGGTGGCCCCCAGAAGCTATGCAAGGGCCCGCAGAAACTATACGGTAGCCCCCATAAGCTATACGATGGCCTCCAGAAGCTATACAGTGTCCCCCAATGGGCCACCATATAGCTTTGGGGGCCACCGTATAGCTTCTAGGGGCTACTGGGGGCCCTGTATAGCTTCTGGGAGCCATTGGGGGCCATCATATAGATTCTGGGGGCCATCGTGTAGCTTCTGGGGGCTGCTGTATAGCTTCTGGGGGCCATCGTATAGCTTCTTGGGGCCACTGGGGTTCCCTGTATAGCTTCTGGGTGCCACCATATAGCTCCTGGGGGCCACTAATTAGCTTCTGGGGGCCATCATATAGCTTCTGAGGGCCACTGGGGGCCACCATATAGCTTCTGGAGACCACAGTATAGTTTCTGTGGGCCCTTGTATAGCTTCTGGGGGCCATCGTATACCTTCTGGGGGCCACTTGGGGCCCCTGTATAGATTCTTGGGGCCACTGGGGGCCATCATATAGCTTCTGGGGGCTTCTGGAACCTAATAATTAATGTATTTTGCCAGGTTTCACCAAAATCTTCAAATATGGGGGCTGTCAGGAGGGGGTTAATCAAGTTATAATTTTTTTAACAAATTCATGTGACTATTTATCTCTAAAGCAAAGGGAGAATAACTTTCTTTTAACTCATTAAGAACGTGAAATGTAAAAATCTCATTATCAAGTGATGTTACCATAGCATCTGAAATGTTAGAAATATTACATAAACCATATGATGAATCATCTTCACTTCTAATCATGCTTTATACTTCAGATACTTTAAGAATCAAGAATATGAAGAATATGATGAAAATCAGACTATATGTATACTATTTATATGAATCATTGAAAGTGCATGGTAAATTATAAAATTGGATCTTTAATATACAGGGTCGAGATAACCGTTTTGACCCCTGTGAATGATAGTCAAAATACATGTAACCTTTCCACATACTTATTAGTTCAGTTCAATACATGCACATTTTTACTCAATAAGATTGAAACAACTATGGTTGTTACTTTTTTTGTTAATTCAATATTCTTTTATAATTGTCAAACAATGACGTTCACAGTAGCTCCCTCCAAAGCTGGATAATTTTGTTAATTCTGATCCAATTTTGAAGATTTGTTGTCTCTTTAATGTTGCTTATATCTTCCACACATCAAATAAGGGACAAAACTATGCACACATTCTGTCATACGGCCTCAGTTCTAATAGATAATGTTGCTATACTAGGATATTCTGAACCAAAAATGGATTGATGACGTCACAATTAATGCAAATTAGCTAATTTGCATAACTGAATATTGTAACCATATAGTAAATTTAATTAGGTTTAATCAGATACCAATATCATCTCTATAGACCAAATAATGGCGAAACTACATTGATTCAAGACTCCAAGGTAAGATGTATGTATATTATTGTCAAATAATGACATTCACGATAGCTGCCTCGAAAGTTACATAACTTTCGTAATACTGATTCAATTTTGAATCTGTTTTCACTTTTATGTTGCTTATACCTTCTACTAATAGAATAAAGGACAAAACCTTTCAGAAATTTTGCCATACGGCCTCAGTTCTAATAGATACGTTGCTATAGTTGGAAATTCTGAACCAAAAATAGATTGATGACGTCATAATTTATGCAAATTAGATAATTTGCATAATTGAATATCATAAATTTATTGAAAATTTAACGAGGTTCAATTTGGTACCAATATCATTTCTATAGACCAAATAATGACAGAGCTACAAATGATTTAAGATACCAAGGTAAGATGTCTAAAGATCCGTAACCATGGTAACTGAATGCCACCATAAAAGTACTATGGGACATTAGTTGGCAATGTTAACAAATGAATTCATTAAATAGACACCCTAGGGATTACAAAAATGTATGTAACTTATTCACACCTTATGGGTGCATGGGAACCCCTTGTTCCTACTATACTACATGGTCTGTCTTTCACCCCATGTATATAGAAATGACACAAAATCAATATCGCGTCGACTTTGAAGGGACAGACTGCATAATGGTAAGATAGTACAGAACTCAACTCACTGTTGAGATGTGATGGTGTAAAGTTGTAAAACAGGAATGTACAGAGAAAATCATAATTTTTTCGCCCTAATTCCGTTTTTTCATTTTATTTTAATGCAAGTTGAAAAAAAGTCATTTTAATTTCATCATCACATATCACTCAAAGCTTTAAACCACAACATACACGCTTAAAAACGTTTTTTCATGAAATAGATCTCGGAGCTGACATTTTCAAATGTATGGTTTTACACTTCTCACTGTGTCACAAAGGTCCATGTGCAGTATGACAAGTGGTTTTAGACGGTCATACCTATCACCAGGAGTACTTCCTGGTCATAAATACAGTGGTTTTTGGTAAAACAATATGTTCTCTTTCAAGTGAAGTTCCCATGATAGTAAAATATCAATCTGAAAAATTATGGTTTAGGACCCCACCTTGGCACTTTTTTAAAAATGTTAGGCTTATTTTCTAAAAAGAGGATCTTGTTTTTCTCAATTTAAACATATCAAAAGTTTCTTATACACTATATTATCAATTTCTGAAAAGGGGGTGGGTATTGAAATGCGTTAAAGTTAGAAACCACATATCCATGTTATTTTCCCATAGGGAAAACTCGTGCTATCCATTGTTTTCAGCATAACTTTGGTCATCGAAAATTGATATCTTCAAAACTAGACTTTCAACCCCATTCTACTTTTGAAGAAGTTTTAGACCCATTGTTGAATAATCTTTTCATGCAATAAAAATCAGAGAAAGAAGATCCTCTTTTGAGTAAATAGGTTTTACTTACTTACTTTTGTCTAAAATCACTTGCCATACTGCACATGGACCTTTTGATTTTGGATACACTTACGGCTGGTCTGGCATTTGGCAAAGAGGGTTATGTAAAAAGCAAACATTAAAACGCAGGGGCGTAGCCAGCTTTCAATCAGAGGGGCGGGGTGCGATCGCCAAAATCGCGATCGCAGCCCCCCCCGCCCCCGCCTATGAAACGTGTTGCTTTTCGCTTTAGTTACATCTCACTGCTAGCTATCCGACGGGAGGAGATTAACCATAATTCATAGTTGACCTTATAATTATCTCTTCTTTGCACCACTTTCGTTTGATGCAAACTTTCCATCATCTGTTAATAATATGAATTATCCTACACTTAGTGTACTAAATGTATAATAACATTAAAAAATAAATTTGATATTTATTGGCAAAATGAATAACCGGAGGATATCGTGACGATACACTCCGGGCGGAGGATATCGTGACGATATACTCCGGAAAACCCAATATGCGGAGGATATTGTGACGATATACTCCGCTTGTTGACTTCCCGCCAAATTGACTCCATTTGGCATGAAATTCATTTTGCAATGATATTATACATTTAGTACACTCCTTGTAAGTGTAGGATAATAAGAACATCCTATGATTTTTTTTAGAATATCATTTTAATCTACTCGGTGATATTGATATGCACTCGTTCGCTTTGCTCTCTCGTGCAGATATCAATATCACCTCGTAGATAAAAATGATATTCCTCAAAATCATAGGATATCCTATAATTATTACATAAAGAGTGTGTCTTAGTACAATGGGATGTTATTCTCCCTCTTTTATCAGCTCGATAAGATCAAGGTTAAGATAAGATGATCAAGGTTCATTTCATAACTGTCCATTTGCGACTATATCTAGGTGTATATCGTGTGATGAGCCCACTTACCATTGCGATCATCGTTGCAAGATGTTGTTTCTAACGCTTGTCTCCTTTGCTTTTGTCGGACTCACTTCTGCAGGTAAGATATTCAGACGATATTTGACCATTGTATGGTGCTTTAATTTTGTTAGATGCGGTTGGT